TGGAAAGTCAGTTTGTATATGCTCAGACTGGCCAGAATAGTAGCGTTCAGTCTTTTTATTTGTACACCCCCTAAAAAATTTCAGATTAAGGTGTGGACCCCATTGGGAAATCTGAATCAGAGTCACCAGACCACAGTTTGAAAGCCACTGTGCTAAACCTTGCTGCCATCTAGAGAATTCTATCTGCACTGTGCATGCTCCATCTTCTTGCAGCTCCAACTTATTCTAAGTTAAGTTGCAGAAGCTATCAGAAGCTTGTATCCCAAGAAAGAGGAAAAAATGTATAGGTAGGTGTTTTAGACCAAGTTGGATGAGCAAGCATCTCAGGGAGGTGATTAAGAAAAAGCAGAAAGCATATAAGGAGTGGAAGATGGGAGGGATCAGCAAAGAAAGCTACCTTATTGAGGTTAGAGCATGTGGGGACAAAGTTAGAAAGGCGAAATGTCATGTAGAGTTGGACCTTGCAAAGGGAATTAAAACCAATAGTAAAAGGTTTTATAGCCATATAAATAGGAAGAAAACAAAAAAGAGGAAGTGGGACCGCTAATCACTGAGGATGGAGTGGAGGTTAAAGATAATCTAGGCATGGCCCAATATCTAAACAAATACTTTGCTTCAGTCTTTAATGAGGCTAATGAAGAGCTTAGGGATAATGGCAACATAACAAATGGGAATAAGGACTATGCAGATGTAATACAATAGCTCAGAGGTTTGCTTGGACCTGATTTTTAACCCTGAACAGGACCCAAGAACATCTGACCTGACCCCTGGAGGGTCAAACACCTGACTCTTTACCTGAATTTGAGCCAGTGCTGCCCGTCTGCAGGGTTGGCATGGCAAGGACTGCATGCCCTGCTCCTGCCATGCCCTGTGACGTGGTGTGTGCTGCACAGTGCATGCCTCTGCATGTTAACTCTGCAGCACTTATGCTGCAGCAAGGTGGCAGTGGCCATCAGGCCAACATCATTGACAGGGGAAAGGTGTAGTTAGGGACATTGAGGTTCATGGCAATTGGGACAAATTACAACATGATTTTACAAGAGGTAGATCGTGCCAAACCAACCTGATCTTCTTTGAGAAAGTAACAGATTTTTTAGATAAAGGAAATGCAGTGGATCTAATCTACCTCCTTTTCCGTAAGGCATTTGATTGGTTAATTGGTTAAATTGGAACAGATAGGGATTAATATGAAAATTGAGAGGTGGATAAGGAACTGGTTAAAGGGGAGACTACAGTGAGTCATACTGAAAGGTGAACTGTCATGGTGGAGAGAGGTTACTAGCGGAGTTCCTCAGGAATCAGTTCTATTATTTAATCTTTTTATTACTGACCTCAGCACACTCCCACTTTTAGTGCCAATAAAGTTTGAGGATGACAAAGTTGGGAGGTATTGCCAATTCAGAAAAGGATTGGGATATCATACAGGAAGATCTGGATGATCTTGTAAATTGGAGTAATAGTAATAGGATGAAATTTAATAGTGAGAAGGGTTATGCATTTAGGGATTAACAACAAGAATTTTAGTTATAAGCTGGGGACATGTCAGTTGGAAGTAACGAAAGAGGAGAAGAACCTCAGAGTCCTGGTTGATCACAGGATGACTATGAGCCGCCAATGTGACATGGCCGTGAAAAAGGCTAATACGGTTTTGGGATGCATTAGGCGAGGTATTTACAGTAGACATAAGGAGGTGTTAGTGCCATTGTATAAAGCATTGGTGAGACCTCATTTGGAATACTGTGTGCAGTTCTGGTCTCCCATGTTTAAGAAGGATGAATTCAAACTGGAACAGGCCACTAGGATGATCCGAGGAATGGAAAACCTGTCTTATGAAAGGAGACTCAAGGAGCTTGGCTTGTTTACTTTAACCAAAAGAAGGCTGAGGGGGGACATGATTGCACTTTTTAAATATATTAGAGGGATAAATACCAGGGAGGGAGAGGAATTATTTAAGCTTAATACCAATGTGGACACAAGAACAAATGGATATAAGCTGGCTAGTAGGAAGTTTAGACTTGAGATTAGACAAAGGTTTCTAACCATTAGAGGAGTGAGGTTCTGGAACGGCCTTCCAAGGGAAGTAGTGGGGGCAAAAGATCTAACTGGTTTCAAGATTAAACTAGATGGGTTTATGAAGAGGATGGTTTGATTTAACTGACCTTTCACTATCAGTGGTAATAGGTCAATGGTGGGAAGATAGGAGTTACTATAGAGAACTTTTTTCTGGGTGTCTGGTTGGTGAGTCTTGCCCACAGGCTCAAGGTTCAGCTGATCACGATATTCGGGGTTGGGAAGGAATTTTCCTTCAGGGTAGATTGGCAGAGGCCCTGGAGATTTTTCGCCTTCCTCTGTAGCATGGGACACGGGGCACTTGCAGGAGGATTCTCTGCATCTGGGGTCTTTAAACCATCATTTGAAGACTTCAATATCTGAGATATAGGTGAGTAGTGGGTGGGTGAGATTCTGTGGGCTGCATTGTGCAGGGGGTCAGACTAGATGATCATAATGGTCCCTTCTGACCCTAAAGTCTATGAGTCTGTGAGACCAACTGAGCATACATAATGCTCACAGCATGACTGAATATGTGCCAGTTCAGAACTAGAAGGGCTCAAGATGACTCTTCCTCTAATTGCTGCTCTAGGCCAGAGTAGAGCCAGGCACTGGAATCGAGGGTAATGTGCTTGTCTCTCTTTGCTCCTTCTGTGACACTATGCTGGCACACAAGCAGCATGGAGAAGGAAGCAGTGTAACTTGAATGCAGAGGGGATGAAGGCAGAGTCAGAAGAGACTGGGAAGAATACATGAGATGAGTCTGGTGACAGACTGGAGAACCAAGGAAAAACCAACTTGGAGGGAGGAGGGGAAGGCTGGGACTGGAAGCAGAGGGGGAACACTGGGGGAGGTGCATATTATGACTAGGGAAACAGGGTGGAGGGAGATAACATCCATATAGGTTTGGGAGGAACTGAGACTGCCTGGGAAAAGTGACTGGGACAAGGAGTCTAGGGAGGTAGACAGGATATGAAAGCCAGCTTCAGAGAAGTGGTGAGAGACTGGACAGTCAGGAGGGGACTGCAACTGGGATGAGATACTGGATTAGTGGAACGAACAAAAAAACCAGAAGTGGGGAAGTGACAGGACAGGGACAGTTTGCAGGCAACAGCCTTAAAGTTGGAGGAAACTAACAAAAATGTGGCAACTAGAGAACACTCCCCTCCCCCAAAGCTTAAAATGTGACCCAAGATTCCTGAAAGTCTCAGATATTTGCTGACAAACCACTGAATCTCCTTCGGCTCTTCTGCTGGTCCACAGAAGACAACCCATCACTGCTATCACTAATTCAGTTAGTTCACATGGCTACGGTCCATTAAATGGATCTAAAAGTTCATATGCAGCTGATGACCTATGTGGATGCCAATCTACTGCTATATGACAACTTGTTTTCTCACTTTGCTTTTTTAAGAGTCTAGGAACTAAGAGCTATACTAAGGTTGCAAAATTAAGCACTTGAGAATAAGGAAAGACCAGAAATAAGATCACCATGATAATGCCTTTTATTTATGTGGTGATCATGCACTATGCTTTCCACATCCCCAGCCTCAGTCAGTGCAGAGGATGGGCAGTGCTCCTTTGCTCAACAGCTACAGGTTGAACCTCTAGTCAGGCACTCTTGGGACCTAGCTGGTGCCAAACCAGAGGATTAGCTGGATCATGTGAAATCAATGTTGTCCAGCATCACTAAGCTAAACAGCACAGAACACAGAGACAGGATTGGTGGGAAATAACACTTTATGGGATTCTGGGAAACTTGACCACACCTATGATAAGTGGACATCCGGCTAACTAAAATCACACCGGACCATAGATGTTGCTGGACCAGAGTGTGCCGGACTAGAGAGAGTATGTCTATACTCAATATTTTATTTTAATCTCATTGTTGAGCGTATGACCCCATGTGTTGTTCACTGCACAGTATTCCAAAGACTGAAGTATTAATTTTCCCCTAGTCTTTTTTATAGTGCTTATTACTGCAGCAAAGTAATTCAACAATATTCATTAATGAGATCCACAAAGCCCATGTGAGATGACTGGGTATTATTATTCCCAGTATTATTCCCAATGGGGAGCTCAGGCACAGACAGATTAAGATCAAAGAAACTCATTAATGTTAAGTGCCCAATGTGAGATGTCTATCGCATGATTTTTAGAGTACTTAGCATTATACAGCACTTTATATATTCAAGCACAACTACCACTCACTTCAGCTAGGAATGCTCAGCCTTTCTGCAAACCAACACCCCCACATCATCTCAAATTGGATACCCAGTAAGTGAGAAACACACAATTTGTGACACCCCACCCCCTACAAAAAAAAAATCAGATCTAATTGGACTTGCCCAGCGTCAAACAGGAACTCTGTGGCAGTGGCAAGGACAGAACCCAATCCTCCAAAGCAGCATTTGCTTGAGTTAACCATCCTTCCTCTTTCTGCAGTCCCCTGCCTGGCTCACTATACACCTTTGAATTTCTGCAAGAAGTGAGGAGAGGAACCAACAGCCTCCTCCACTATTCAACCCTATCCATTCCCACTGCAGGTCCATCCTGTGCAGTAAAGCCAAGTTCTATGGAAAAATCAATGTATAACCCTGTAATTAAAAGCTCTATCATAATACATATACACAAGGGGATTGCCTAACTGTTGAGTGGTTGACTCTGCAACCTTAATAGTGTTCTTTTAACATAGTATAGTACATTTGAACTACATACAGAAAGCGCTTCTGCCTTGACCCTCAGCCCAAAGTATATGATAACCCTTTTCAATTTTTTTTGTTACCTTGGCATACTGTTCTGTTTCAATTCCCTCATTTCTGCCAGGGAACACAAGAGAGTTACAATTGGTTTAGGCCTAGCTAAGAAGAAACATGTTCCACGTACACGGTGCGTGGGCAAGCCAAGAAGCACTTCTGCGGTATTTGCAGTATTCTGTGCCAAAAAAGTACCTGTGGATTTGTCCATTTTTATGCAGGTAGTCCAGCCCCTCCAGCACCTCTTTTAGAATTGTGGCTATATTAGGTTCATCCAGGACTCCATTCTTGTGCTCCCCTTTTGCCACAATGTGTTTAATAACATCCAGAACAGATCCTAGAGAGAAGACAAAAGTTAAATCTATTCTTTAGTTTAAACTGGAAGGAATTATACCATGTGATTAAATGCCAGATACACAGTAAATCAAGGAAGCCTGGAAAATAAGTGGAGGAGTTAGGGATCGAAGTCAATAGCATTCATTTTTTATTTCCAACGCCCCTAAAAAGATAAGTGGGTCCCTCTCCATTTCAAAGGGGATGCCCTAAAGAACTTTTACTTGCACTTACTTTGTGGTTTTATTGAAAGTGTTTAAGCCCCCATTTTTATCTCGTGAACTGAAAAGTTTGTCAAGGAGTCCAATACCACATAAATCCCTTGCAGTTACACTTACATGGACACATACTTTGTCAACTAGCTGTAAGAGTTTGAGTTCATTTTGACTAACGTACAATCAAAATCACAAGAATAGTCTGTCAGTTGATACAGTCTGTCAGTTGATACGGGAGCACAGATGCTGAGGAGGCAAGTTGTTGTGGCATCGATTCAACTTCAGAATAGAGGAAATAGAAAAGTGGGGAGGGAGTTTTCACTAATTTCGGAGAATTTTATTTTCCAGTTTCTAATATATTTAGTACACAGTTGCTAACAGTGGTACTATTCCTAACAATGGAAAGCATCTCTAAGGGGAAAACACAGATGGAGATCATAAGAATTTAAAATTCTGGTAACAAATTACTTCCTCACTCTGTACAGAATTGCAGTAAAGTTTAAATCTTTCCTGAGATGCATCAATAAAGCTCCTCTTTCTGAAAGGGTGTGAATTATATCCTCTTGGATGACAAACCACTTTTTATAGACCAAATCAGCTCTTTGAATTGCACCCACGAATAAATCAGGAATCAGCTCTCAGCCTGCTTGTTCTCATATATTTGGTATTTGCTTCTCCCATTGGGCAGAGAGCCTGACTCTCCAGGCCTGGTGTACAGCCTGCCTCTATTCTCATGGGCTAACCTGCGTTTAGCAGCTCAGTTTGGTTTTGTATTGTTTAACTCTTGTATATGCAACCGTAAGAAGCTTTTAGTGATAGATATAAAAGACAACAAGATTGGCAACGGTGACAGGTTTTGAAAAGAATTAAAATAGAAAACCTCTGGTTTTAAGCTAAGTCCTTCAGTAATGTATTCAAAAAACACTTTGGTGCCAGTGTAGCCAGTTAGAAGAGTTAGAGTTCATTCTGACTAACTTGTGATTAAAATAATAAAGAAAACAGAACATGTTTTGACTTGTTAAAGAACAGTGAAAAGCCCACAAGGGTTTAATATTGGCATGTATTAAAAACACTAAGACTTAGTCATATGAATTTTGATTACTAATGAATTTCAAGAATGTGCCAGTTAACATTTCTAAGCAAAAAGAAAGTAGAACATTATGGGAAAGCCAAAAAGTAAAGATTTTATTAAAAACACTTTTTATGAACCCTTGTGAAATTCTGGAAGTTTATAAATATTGGGGGCTATGCTTGCCTACCCTCCTCTCTGACCACTTCCACTTTGCTGAGAGAGCCTGTTGACGTCATTCTGTCGCTCAACAGGAACATTATGTGATCTGGCAGGACAAACTTCTTTGTATGTAGTGAAAGATAATTTGTGGGGGATTTAAATTTTGCAATCTTTTTGTACCCATTTTATCCACATGGAATGGACAGGAGACTGAGGTTAGGTCCTGCCCTTGGTGAGGTGGGAAGAAATGGTTTTCAGAGCAAATAATACCTACACTCGTCCTGCAGTGGTGGCTACTGTCCCACGGAGCTGGACCCAGCTCTCCATTTGGACATTGCAGCTTGGTGCACGGGGTTACCATGTTCAGGTTTGGTGGAACAAGCCTACCATCATGATGGAAGAGAATCCAAGTCAAATTTGTGTGTATCATCAGATGAACATGAGATCCCAGTGTGACTCTTTGGCCTTCCTTGGATGCATAAACAGTAGAGTCTTGAGCAGAAACAGATTATCTTACTTGTGACAATTACTGGAATACTGTGTCCAGTGCTGATGCCCACAATTCAAGAACCATGTTGATAAACAGGAGAGGGTACAGAGAAGAGCCACAATAATAAATAAAGGCCTCAAAAAATATGCTTTACGGAATTATTTTGGGGAAATTCTATAGTGTTACATGGGAAGTCAGATGAGATTACTACAATGGCCCCTTGTGGTGCTGGAATTTTTGCCTCTGTGAAAGGAACAAATACAAGAGAAGACTGAAAACAAAAGCTATCAGGATCTGCATCTGCACAGTCTAAATGCCTTAGATAACAGTTCTCTTAACTATGTTCAATTTTCCCCACATTCCTAGGACTGAAATGCATTTTTAATTAGTATTAGAAATATCTAAAGGTGTGGTGGTGTCCAACCAGTTCTGAAGCAGTAGCCATTATAGTGGCTACTGCTACAGTGAACTAACTGCACTCAATCAGCCAAATAACCATATTGTTCAAGCCAACAAGCCACAACCAACTGGCTGAATAGCCACACATGGCTAGCGTGTTGGACCCCATGAATCTAAAGGCACATCAGTTCTTAGCAAAAGGTCCCTCTTACAGTAACAATTTGAGCTACAACAGATGCCTCCATTTTCTACAAAGTAGCATTTACTGTGTGACTGAACGTGACTTGTTTCTAATAAAGAAATGTCACAAAAACACATACCAACAAAACCCAGATTGTGTGCCTCTTTTACCCCCATAAAGGCTAGACTCAAAAGCGTTTTATATTCTAAGGTTTTTAGAACAGGGGGCATCTCTTTTTTACATGGCACTTTGAATATTTGTTTACGCTTTCTCAGTTGCACTGTTATGTATACAGGCAGTCTCCAGGTTACGTACAAGATAGGGACTGTAGGTTTGTTCTTAAGTTGAATCTGTATGTAAGTGGGAACTGGCGTCCAGATTCAGCCGCTGCTGGTCAGCAGCGGCTGAATCTGGACGCCAGTTCCGACTTACTTACAGATTCAACTTAAGAACCCCAGGCGTCCCCAAGTCAGCTGCTGCTGAAACTGATCAGCGGCTAATTCCAGGAAGCCCGGGGCAGAGCAACTCCTCGGCGCTACTGGACCAACCAGGCAGCACCTCAGCTGCTCTGCCCCAGGCGTCCTGATTCAGCCGCTGCTGGTCAGCAGCGGCTGAATCTGGACGCCAGTTCCGACTTACTTACAGATTCAACTTAAGAACCCCAGGCGTCCCCAAGTCAGCTGCTGCTGAAACTGATCAGCGGCTAATTCCAGGAAGCCCGGGGCAGAGCAACTCCTCGGCGCTACTGGACCAACCAGGCAGCACCCCAGCTGCTCTACAACAGGCATCCGGAGAAAAGCCTGGTCTCCTGGGGAGAGTGTACTAGCTGCGCGCCCACCCCCCCAGCAGACCAGGGAGACGCAGGCGGGGGACCGAGACGCACCACGGACCCGCCGCCCGGGTCCTCCGCGTCTCCCTGGTCTGGGGAGACGTGGAGCAAAGCCGCGGAGCACGCCAGCAGCGGGACAGCCGTGGCACGTCTGAGCTGTCCACTGCCCGCGTGCTCCCTGGCTTTGCTCCCCGTCTCCCTGGTCTGGGGAGACGTGGAGCAAAGCCGCGGAGCATGCGGGCAGCGGACAGCCCAGACCCGCCCCGGCTATCCCGCTGCCAGCGTCCTCAGAGGCTTTGCTTCCCGTCTCCCTGTCTCCAGCAGACCAGGGAGACGGGCAGCAAACCCCATTCTTAACTGCGGATCCGACGTAAGTCGGATCCGCGTAACTCGGGGACTGCCTGTATAGTAGACTCTAAAATTTGATTGGACAAAGTGTATTTAGGAAATACCTGATGTGTGTATATGCTCTGAATTTTTTTTAATAAAGCTAGATAAATTCATGTAGGTTAGGACCATAAAAGGCTATTAGCCGGGGGTAAAGAATGATGCCCCTGGCCTTTGTTTGTCAAAGGTTGGAACAGGATGGCAGGAGACAATTGCTTGATCATTGGCTTTGGTCCATCCCCTCTGGGGCCCCTGGCACTGGCCATTGTCAGCTGACAGGATACTTGGCTAGATGGACCTTTGATCTGACCCAGTATGGCCGTTCTTATTTCTATTTTAGAAGGCACTTTTGTGGGCTTATAAGGCACAAAACTTACATACAGACTGCTTGGTCTTTCTCCTCAAATACACTTATTTGGAGGACCAAGCACAACAAGTCCAATAAGAACATTGTGTTCATGTTGTCATTTTATTCTGCTTCCACAACCCCATTTTGCCAGAAGGTTTCCTCCTTCTGCAAAAAGCTGTGGAAAGGGCCAGAAGATGAGTGTTTGTCAATGCAGATTCTGAGCAGTAAAAAGATTTCGATAAATTAAGAGTTTATATTTAAACACAGCAAAAAGTTATTTTGTTTATAAAATAAGTAAATCCAGGCTAACTTGTCATTTTTAGTCTGCTAACGTATTTTTAGACTCCCCTTTCAAGTGGAGGATGTTTAGAGTAATTGAAGATTTTGCAAATAACAAAGAAACGCAAAGAGCACTCTCAACCAATGTTTAATGTACCAAACAATAGATAAGTGACTAAAATGCCCAGGGCTTAAAATCAGCCTATTTCCACCCTCACCCCCAGGAGTGTTTCCTAACATCTTGGGGGGAAGGAGCAAGAATTATTAGAATTTAAGCCCACAAAATGTCACCTTCCTACTGAACTAAGTGTCATCTGAATCATCCTCACTTTGTCTCTCTCATCTCCGCTTAGTTTGCTAAAAGAAAAACATACTTTTACTATTGTCACCATAACAGTGTAAGAGCTGTATTTATTCTGCCTCATGCCTCAACAAAATTACTACTTAAGCTCTGATTCGAAACTCATGATTGTAACTACCTATGACACAACATTGGGGGATACAAACTAAACAGAGCTGCATTCCCACGCAAGGTTCAGACCTAAAGTTAAATATCTTACTTCTGACGTGTTAGTTAAGCCAGTTTGATATGAAATGACTAAGAAATAAAAGGAGCCCAAGACAGAAAGTCTCACTAAGTTTAA